AGGTGAGAGGGGAGCCACGATGTGGGGCGGAGATGGCGAGGTACGCGCCGGGCGGGGAGGGTGGGCAAAGTGCGAGCGTCCTGCTAGGGGACGGTTAAAACCGAGGTTGCGTGGAAGGAGGTGAGAAAAGTTCAGGCTGCCTTTCGGCGGCAGGGGGGAGAGCTGACAAGATTTTGTTTGATTAATTTCGCGCTTAGGTGCTTTGTTTTTAACTTGTTTTTATCCTGGGTGCTCTTCTTTTATAGCTACTCGTATTCTTTGTAATATTGTGGAGAAGGAATCTCCCACGAAACTTTTCCCTTTACGGTAGGCGGGACTAAAGCAGTACCAAATGCATTGTTTAAATGTTAAAGTCTTCAGTGCTTTCTTTTTCTTTTTTTTTTTAATTGTGTGTGATTTTATTGCCGCTACTGCTGCTGTTGTGATAGCGCTTTCCCTCTTGTGTTTACAGCTTCTGTGGGGGAGAGACGCTCAGAGGAGGAACCAGGATCCCTGGGCTGCATAAACAAGGAAGGCAGGAGTCCATCTAAGCAAAGCTGGAAGGATTTCACCTTGTTGCTGTTTGTTTTAGATTTTCCCTTCCCCCGCCCCGGACGCTATCCGGCTGAGGGTTTGTTTCGTTGTTGCTTCTTAACCGGCCAGAAGAAAAACGCTTTACGTGTGAGAGGTGATTTTTGTCGTCGTCGCCCTGCAAGACACGGATCTGCACCTATGCTCGAGGAGGAGGGAAATAAGATCAACTGAGGTTTTCCCTACCTCCGGCTGAACGTGAGAGTTCAAGTGACACCCCCACTGGCCTGTGGCTGACTGACTACACAGCTAGCTGGCATCACAGCCAGAGCTGCTAAATTTACCTGGTCGAGGACTCTTCAAACCCTTCTGTTGACGGTAGAGATTTGTATCCAAAGGAAAATCGGATTAATATAACTATGCAGAGCTTTGCGGGGATATCTGGCGACTACCCTGTCTGCATGGCTAATTTTGAAATTGTCTGAAATAAATCCTTAGCACAAGGAACAGCGAGATACTTTCTCCTCGTTTTAGGTTTTTCTTTTCTTTGTCGCTTTTTTCCTCGTACAGGAATTTAACACTTCCATATCAAGGTTTTTACCGGGGAATGGGATACATGCCGGAAAACTCACCACGTTTCATAAAAATCACAGAGGTAACAGTTTCCGTCATCCTTGTGGTATGAAAGGTACTCTTTGGATTGTCTCCTGGTGGCTAAGATGGATCAGTCTTCCTCTGTGCTAGAAGATCCGAATTTACAAAAATACTGACACCGATAAACTTACTCCCTCTCTGGTGAAGGCATTGGATGTGACAGTGCAGAGAAACATGTGTTTCACATTTCTGACTGGTTGTTTTGGTGCAATCAATACCTCCACAAAATACAGTGACTTAAGTGGTGATTATAATACAGTGAGGCATACGGAGTGCTGCTTTCGGCTTGCATGCGAAGTGAGCACAAATCAAAGACTCCTCAGTTCCTGTAGAGTGGGGGCTTCTGTTCCCCCCAAACTCCAGGGCGAAGGCAGCGGGCGATGTTCCCAAACCACCAAAGAGAACCCGGCCTCGGGGTGCGGAGTGAGCAATGACCAAAGCGCTGTCAGGAGTGGCAGGCAGTCGAATTGGATGGGGATCAGTGAGACAATAATGGTTGGAAGAAAGGTGGATCGCGAAATTATTGCCCGAAGGAATAGCTGGGGAGACGGAACGATGATAAAGTTAAACTTCTGTTTCTTCTTCTGTCGGGGATGGTGGGCGTTTCTGTTGCTTCAGCTCCACATGTTGCAAGCACTGGCACAAGGTAGGGCTAGAGACATTTTTGTTTATAGAAATGCTGCATCTGCCTTCTAAAAAGGGAGGAAATCTCGCTCATGTAAAGATATACCATTCTACTTAGTCCTATCAGAGATAACAAACTGCAGAATTCTCACTGAGCTGATTTTATGTAAAAATGACTATTTCTTATGCACAATTGTTTCTTTATAGAAGAGGCATTTGCAAACTGTACCTATATGTTTCTTCCCCTTTCTCGTCCTCCTATCCTTCTCCTATCCCCCCATCTCCCACAAAGAATCAACAGCTTTATCAGGAGCAAACCTACCTTTTTATTTATTTAAAAGTATCCGTACATTTCTGATTTCTGTTCTTTTTTTTTTTTTTTAGGCAGCATAAGAGTTAACTGCTGATTGTGTGTGTTTAAAAACAGTGTGCACTGAAACAAGTTATTAGGAGAAAGGGACTCATAAATCCACTAAGTCAGGCATGTAAAAGGAATTCTTTAAACATATGAGGACTATTCTATGTGAACCTCGGTTCGAGCATTGTTCATTTCTCTTGGATTGCCAAGTAACATTTAACCGAGACAAAAACTGCAATTGATTCGTATCTGGGCATTTCCACATCAGAGATCCTTGCAGTCAAATGAGTCACTTGTAAACGAAGGGTCAGAGTCGTCCAATAGACTTTAAATATCAAGTGTCAGTCACTTTGCATTTAAATTCCCTTCTCAAAAAATTGCCAAATGTAGTTTAATTCTTAATAATCCTTTGACAGAGTAAACAATAAATGGCAGGCAGAAGCATTATAGTTGGCTGCGCAAAATAACATGCTGAACAAATGCAGCTTTCACTTTCTTTGCTGGATTGGGTTTTATTGCTGTGTGTATTGTCTGACTGGAGTGGTATGTGTGGTACAATGCTGAACTGTATAGTGTGGGACGGTGAGTTATTAAAAGCGGAAGTTAATAATTTATAAAGGGGAATGGGCTTTGTATTTTAGTTCTTTGTTTTTGAGTATTTCATAGGGAACAACACTGCATTCAGTTTTAATAATTGGATGGTCTTGTGTGTTGAAGAAGAGGGGTTAGAAAGCCAAATCTGCTGTAGTTTGCCTGCTCAGGCTTTACTACTGCACCCTCTGAAAGTTTTGAGCCGCAGGATACGAGAGAGTTTTAATCCTGTGTTTAATAATGGACTCCACCCTCATAAACCTTTCTCAATGCTTTGTTTATGCTGTCATTCCTATTTGCAAACTACTTATACTGAGGCCTGCAAGCCCTTACAGGCTGTTGTTATTCTGAAGCAAAACATACCCAACATAGTTCTCCCTGCAAATTAAAATTAAAATTTCTTTTTTTCTGTTAGTTGTTGTTGATAGATGCCAACATGATGCTTTATTTTGAAAGACAAGTGCTTGACGATGCTGTTTTCATTAAAAATGTAAAAAAAAAAAATTAATTGAAGCCAGTTTTAAGTGCAAGTGATTGAAGAATCAGTTTAGATGTCTTGGAAAAGGTTTTCTGTGGTTTAGTAGTAAACTAGCCATCTTATTGGATTAAGAAGCGGACTGAAACTTTTCTTTAGCACATAGTATGGAAAAATATCTCGATACAGTATTTCAGATTGCTAAACATTCTCAATATTATCACTTTTAGATAATACAACTCTCTGGGAGTTATACAGTGTTTACAAAGTATCCTAAAGAGAAGTCCTAACACTAAGTTGGTTTCACCCATCAGTAATTAAGGGGGGAGGGGAAGCAAAGAGAAAAAGCTACATTCTTTCTGAGAGAAATATTGTTGCACATAAAGGTATGGAGCTTAGTAGCTATTAAACGATGAAAGATAAACAGTTATATTATGCAGGAACAAAATACATTTTTCTTTTTATATAATACAGAAAATGAGGAAATACTAACTTTACAAGTAGTCTTTTAAAAATTCTGTAACACACAAGCCAGTGTGGGGGTCACACAAACCAGTGTGCAGTGCTTTTATGAGGTTGTCGCAAAATTTGCATTCATTTGTAAGTCACAGTTCTTTTTGCTCTTTGAATTTCTTTAATATATCCATCATTTTTATGCCAACATTCACTTTAGACAGGAAATGACAATTTTTATAAAAGTCCTGGTTTCATGAAAATGGAAATTCTGGTGCAGCCACAGAAAGTTTTTAACGGAAAAATGTGGTCATAGGCATGAGAGTATTACATGACTCCAGTCTTTTTATGTGATAAAAAAGGAACATTCTAAATGTATGGGCCATGATCATTTTGAATGAATCATAATACTATTCTGTAACTAACTAACATTTTTGTAATAACTATCTCAGTATTAAAGAAATAACTATTTCAGGCATACTGAAATGCAGAGCTCCTTATTTCATCGGAAACATTGGATAAAGTCATTGAGATTAAATATCTTGTACTGTAAAGTGAATGAAAGAAAATATTTTCAACAGCAACAGGTTGTTTGAGAAATCTCTAGTCCTGAATGTTTTCTGCACAAAAGCAGATCTAGAGGAGAGATGTAAATAAAACAACTTGTAAATACACTTCATACTTAGATCTTCAGCTTCTCTTTTTCTCTGGTCGTTGGGTTACATAATTGGGTGTAATAGTTTATATGATGTTTTCCATTTCTAAGTGAATTTACTTATTATGAAACATACAGTGGTTTATTGTACTGGATAATAGAGTATTTCCTTCAAACTTTAGTACTGCTAGTGCAGACCTTCTCATTATGGAAGAGATTTTCTGAGTGGAAGAAAGTGACAGATAAGAAAGGCTGTGGTTTGTACCATGAACATAGTCTGGGATGGTACTCTTACTTCTGTCCTGGCTGCAGGTCTGCATAGAAACCCATTCAGACTATGTGTTTGTCTCACCCTGCTTTCCACACTTCCCATCTGTGAATGGGAATCTCATCAGAAAAATTAATCTTTAACGGTCTGAAAACAGGTGTACATGTTGCCTATTCAGTTCTTTATCTCTGCTAGCCTCTGCCATGATGACACTTGGCATTTTTGTTAAATTTGAGTATTAAGTGCTAGCTAGCCTCAAGACATTGTGTGTCATCAAATAGTGATGAGATGCTAATTGATAATCACTATAATTACCAATTTAGAATTTGCAAGGTGATGGTAAAAGTGAATCATTTCAACACAGGAGCTAGCTACTGTACTTAGAAGAACGTTATCTGGCAGTGACCTCTAGCTCAGTGGTCTAGTGTGCCTGCGCATAGTCCTGTAGTCCTGTTGAATACATAGAGTTCACTGCAGGACTGGAATTTATTAGTTATGTATGAGAGTAACAAACACTGATGCCTATTAAGGTACAAAATGTTTACTGAAATACTTGAATATTTGTGTGGAAACAAAAAAATCTGCTTGTTTAAGTAGGTTGAAAGTTGCTGGAGGCTACTCAACATGCATCTTAATGGATTTAAGTACCTTCCCAATGTTTTACTTTTGTTAAACAATTAGAAAAAAAATCCTAATTCTTTTGGACTGATGGCTGTAGCTCAGAATGATTTAGAAATAGATAAAACCAGTGCATAGCTTTAAGCTTTTTAAACAGGAGATGGTATCTTTAAATATTAAGAAAGGGAAGCTTGTCTGATTTTTCTTAGTTTAACAGAAATGGAAGTGTAATCTTTTCATGCCACTTGATCAAATCTATAATTCTGAATTGAACAAGGACCTGAATGTATATTTAAGGTGGTTTTGAGATCTATTATGCTTTGATAGAAACAGTGACATGGAGGAAAGAAGAAAATGTTTCTGGGGCTCAGCTTTTTAAATTCAAATATTTAATCTGCTCTAATTTGTACCTATGCTAAGTGTAAGAAGCCTTTTCAAGCAAATGTCACCTGCGTTTGGCATGCAAAGATGCTAAGCAACTTGAAAGAGTAGTTGTTGGAAGGACAGAGAGACAGTTAAATGTGAGGGTGACTCTTATTTGAGAATGAGAGGCATTACAAATGAGAAGTTGAGATGCATTTTTATTTCCAAAAGATTCTGATATTATTCATTGGAAGCTCATTAATTCATAGTGGATTTACCTCTGGTGTTCCTTTTCTTTAGAAGAGCAGTTGAAAAAGTGTTAGTTTTTAAACAGGTGAATTATTGACACATATGATTGTAAGTATTAAAAATGGTTTTAGAAGAGTAACTACTAGCCCTGTCTAAATGGAAATGGGGTGGAGAGTGGGCTTTTTTGTGTGTCCATGTCGTATGACTTCTAACTCTACTGTGTCTCTACTAATCAATCTGTTTGATTTATACGCTTATCTTTTGCTGAAAAATGACTAGTTTTTAAGACTTCTCAAAGCAAGTTAAAAGAGATTTGTGTACATATGCAATAACATTTTACGTGCAGTGTTTCAGACTGTTTCTTGAGGGCACACTCTATTATTAGAGGGGCAGGAGGACCACGGGCAATAGATATTTACCATGCGTTACTAGAAGACACTTAAACCAGAAACTACCCAGGTAAGGAGAGGGAGGTTATAGCAGTTCAGTCTCAGAGTTATTCTGTGGAACTTTTACATCACTTAAAAAAGAGGGAAGAGAATCTGTGTTCTTTGCTTATTGTGCTTGAAAGGTTGTTCTGGAAGATTCTATCATCTCTGTGTATAGCCATGTATTTTGAATAACAAAGGCAAATACTGGCTCTTATTTTAAAGATTATCTGACTAATTTAAAAAAAAAAAACTAGAAATTGCAATAAGCAATCTGAAGCAAATTATTAGGAATCTATGAGTAAAATGCTTGAGTTTTATATGTCTCAGAGTTTTATTTTATTCTACAGATCTTACCAGCACATATGTACATGTCTATAATGAACTCTTGATTAAAATACATTAATTTCATGCATTTAGTAGCTTTGTATACAGCTGTACCTGAACCATGACATTCTAAATTGACTAGCTATTTTGTTAACTTTGGCCTTTTTGCTGCATTGACTCTGTGGGAAGAATGAAGGCAATGAGATTGCACGTGGAGCAAAATCTTCTCCATGCTGA